CAAAAAAAAAAAAAAATGCACAAAGCATAAACCATCCTTCCTCTGTATGTGTTCTTAAACCTTCAGCTTCTTTTCTTGCTTTTTTTTTTGCTTTCTTCTTTGTTTCAGCCATTCTCTTGCCCTCTTGTGAACCTTATTAGCATGATCATGTGCCCTCTCTTGGAATATATCATCATCATCAGGGCCTTCAAGATCCTCCAATTCCCACTCAGATAAATCTGAGGATTCACCATTGTCTTCTTGTGGCTCATACTCTGAATCTTCAGAATCATCTGATTCTCCAAATAGTTGTTCTGCCACTCCAGAAGCAAAATGATCATCTTCATGGCCAGCACTAGGTGTTTGGGATTGTCCTTCATCATGTGAAAAGGTGCTCCTTACACCAGCAGTAGGTGTCTCTTCACCATCATGTGCATCAGCCCAGCAGTAGGTGTCTCTTCACCAGTACCAGCACCACCAGCAGCACCACCAGCAGCACCATCATCAAAACCAGCACCATCATCTGTTTGATCACAAGTAGCAGCCCCAGCACCATCATGTGTTTGATCACAAGTAGCAGTCCCAACACCATCATCTGTTTGATCACAAGTAGCAGCCCCAACACCATCATCTGTTTGATCACAAGTAGTAGCCCCAACACCATCATCTGTTTGTTCACAAGTAGCATCCTTATCACCATCATCTGTTTGATCACAAATAGCAGCCCCAGAACCATCATCTGTTTGATCACAAGTAGCATCCCCATCACCATCATCTTTTTCAGCTTCTTCGTCCCAATACTGGTTTATGAGAATGTCCTCCTCAGTGTATAGATATTCAAGAAGGGGGACCTCTTCTTGTGAAGATAACACATTGCCATCTTGGTCCATCATCACTACAGGGCCTTGCAAATCTTCAAAGTACAGAGGTATCACATCCTGCCCTTCATATTTCTTCACCAGCTTTAAAATGTCATTGTCACTGGAAATCTTCAACAACTTTTTTGATGTTTTTAAATTCTTGCCAGGCTTGTGAGAAAATATATCAACTGCGCTTGCTTTTCCCCCTGCCTTCTTATATACATCAAAAAGTTCAAACATGGATAACCTATCCATGTCATAGAAGTCAATTGCAACTCGATGGCCACCAAAGTAGTGCACAAATGGCAAAAACTTAATCTCTCCCCCAACTCTAACATAAAAAACAAATGCCATCACCTGCAAAACCAATAATAGAATCAAGACAAAAAAAAGCCATCATAGAATCAGGAACAAAATTCCCTAAACCCTAAAACTTATTATAATTCGAAAATGCCTAATTTGCAAATGCTCTAATTTCACTAAACCCGATTTCTGTAAAATGAATTCACAAACAACAAACCAATACTGAGCCTCAACAAATTGAAACCCTAATTTCAAAAAATTTAACCCTAATTTGAATAGAATCAGCCTAATTAAAAAATGCACAAATCTGCCTAATCTCAACAAATTGAAACCCTAAATTCGAAAATGCACAAAATACTGAAACCCTAATTTCAAAAATAAAAAATTTAAGACCAATTTCAACTTTAATCTATACTAATCTCAGATCTACCAAACAAATAACAACCAGTTAGCAAAAGCCCTATCGAAATTCAATGAAGGTTTGGAAAAATTACCTTATATTTCTTCAAGAAAAAACGCGTGCGTAATTATATTTCTTCGAGCAAAAACCCTAGGTAGTCGAATTTCAGCCCTAAGCGAGCATGTTTCTGAGGTTTGGATTGCGAAGAATAGGCTAAGAATTATTTTGAGGTTTGGATTTCTGAGGTTTGGATTGTGAAATATTTTGAGTTTGGATTTCTGAGTTCGATCGCAATGAGAGAGAGAAAAAAAATTTCTCACTTTAATTTCGTTTTGAAGAGAGAGAGATTTTTTTAGACTAACTGTACTTGTTTGTTTCTGAGGGCATAACGGGAAGTTAAGCAAAAAATTAACGGGATTAACACGGAAATGAAGAGGGGGAAGTGTGCGCAATCAAAAGTATAATATAAGGGGTATGTCGCATTTTTTAAAATACAAAGGGATAAGACGTAGATTTAGTATAATACAAGGGGTTTGGCGGAATTTACCCTATAAATTGGGGTTTTCTTTTCTTTCTTGTTCCTGGGAACCCTACCCTACTCGAAGAAAAACACTTGATCCTCTCCTCGCAGCAATCAATCAATCAATCAATCAGGTTCTCTTGTCTCTCGCCTTATCTATCTTGTGTTTGTTTATACAGATTCCTATGTAATTATTACAATTCTGAAAGTTTGTATCTTTATTATTGTTCGCTGCCCAGTGGTACACTCAAAGCTTGTACCTTTATTTGCCGGCATCACTATATTTCAAAAAATTTGGATTTTGTGAATGAATTCAGTGATTTTGGGGCCGTATTTGATGTTCATCGTCTTTAATCCCACTTTTCATCTCAATTGATTGGATGTGGTTTAATCTGTTATTTTCACTCCCCATCTGTTGGTGATGATTTGGGTGCAGGTAGAGCACAGACAACTGTATTGTTCCGTAGATTTTTCATTACAGAAGCACAGAGAAGTTTTTTCATCAATCATGTCGATGTCATCAAAGTTTTGGACTCAGCAGGTAGGTGTTCTGCTATCAATCAATCTAACTACTGTATTTCAAGGTCACGTTTTTTTTCTTTTATTAAGAGAAGGTTCTCGATAAATCTGCCTTCAGTCGGCGTTGATTATATTTATCAGTTATTTTTTGGATTCTTAAATCCGTGATCTTAATGTTGCCCATAATTTTCTTTTCTGCATTTGTACACTGTTTTCTGCAGTCCAGTTAGATTTAGTCGTATAAGTGACAAATCCACCTTACAGAATCCGTAAAAAATCCCAATATGAAATTCCTGAAACATTTCTTTCTATTTCTAGGATGGAGAGAGTGAGACTGATGAGGAGGCAAGCGAATATGACGAGCAGGAAGAGAATGAGACTGCTGACCAGCAGGCTTCCGCAAAGCCCGTGAGCAAATACATAATCTCCCAAGACAGTGACAGTGATGACTCGGACGGGCAGCGCCGTGTCGTGCGCCGTGTCAAGGACAAGCGCTACGACGAGATGGCAGCTACAGTCGACCAGATGCGCAATGCTATGAAGATCAATGACTGGGTCAGCCTTCAGGAGAGCTTCGAGAAAATCAACAAGCAACTGGGCAAGGTCATGCGAGCCACCGAGTCCGACCGGCCTCCCGGGCTCTACATCAAAGCCCTCGTCATGCTAGAGGACTTCCTTAACCAGGCCCCCTCTAACAAAGAGGCCAAGAAGAAGATGAGCACCAGCAATGCCAAGGCCCTAAACTCCATGAAGCAGAAGCTCAATAAGAACAACGAGCTGTACGAGGACCTCATTAACCAGTGCCGTGGGAAGCCCGAGATTTTCGAGGAGAAGCCGGATAACGAACCCGAGGATGACGACGAGGATGATGATTTTGATGAGGACCCTGCAGCTATTGTCTCAGAGGAGAGTGAGGATGAGGATGAGGCTGGGAAGGACGAGGGCCCGAAAGGGCCTGGATGGGAGAAGATGCTGAGCAGGAAGGATAAGATGATGGACAAGCAGTTCAAGGACCCTAGCCAAATAACATGGGACATTGTGAACAAGAAGTTCAAGGAGGTTGTGGCCGCCAGGGGGAAGAAGGGAACGTGGAGGATGGAGCTTGTCGAGCAGCTTACTTTCCTGACTCGGGTCGCCAAGACGCCCGCCCAGAAGCTCGAGATTCTCTTCAGTGTCGTCTCTGCACAGTTTGACGTGAACCCGAGCCTGAGCGGGCACATGCCGATCAACGTGTGGAAGCAGTGCGTGCAGAACTTGCTACTGATACTGGATATCCTGACTCAGTACCCGAATATTGTAGTTGATGATATGGTGGAGCCTGATGAGAACGAGACGCAAAAAGGTGCCGACTTTAGTGGCACGATTAGGATATGGGGTAATTTTGTGGCATTTCTCGAGAGGGTGGATGTAGAGTATTTTAAGAGCCTTCAGGTTACTGATCCACACACACGTGAGTATGTAGAGAGGCTTAAGGACGAGTCAATGTTTCTGGTCCTTGCTCAGAATGTCCAGGAATATCTGGAGGGAGCTCAGGATTTCAAGGGTGCTTCCAAGGTGGCCCTCAGANNNNAGCTCGTGTACTATAAGCCGCAGGAGGTATATGATGCTATGAGAAACCTGGCTGAGCAGGACAATGAGGAAGCATCTGAGGAAAATAAAGCTGTTGAGGAAGGTAGGGGCCCACGTGCCTTTGTTGCCACTCCCGAGCTTGTGCCTCGTAGGCCGACTTTTCCGGAAAATAGCAGGACTTTGATGGATATCCTTGTCTCGCTTGTTTACAAGTATGGTGATGAAAGGACTAAGGCTCGTGCAATGCTTTGTGATATATACAACCATGCCATTTTTGATGAATTCTCCACTTCCCGGGACTTGTTGCTCATGAGTCACCTTCAGGATAATGTACAACACATGGATATTTCTACCCAGATACTGTTCAACAGGACCATGGCACAGCTTGGTTTGTGTGCTTTCAGGGTTGGGCTTTTTACTGAAAGCCATAGTTGTCTCTCGGAACTGTATTCGGCTGGCAGGGTGAAGGAACTGCTGGCACAGGGCGTCTCTCAGAGCAGATACCATGAGAAGTCTCTGGAGCAGGTATTACGTTTCTTTTTAAGAGCGCGTATCTTTATTTGTCATGGGATTGTAGCTTGTGGTTGATCTATGTGTTTTATACTGTCAATCTTTGCTTTTACGTATTTATCTGATTCAAGTGTGTTCAATCCATGCTTCTTAGTAGTCTGAGATTCATTGAAATACAGACAACTCTAGGCAATGTTAATACGAGTCAAGTTAGTATAAGTTCGGTTCACTGATTTTGAAATCTTGCAAATCACATCAGTACATCACAAGCTTTATAAATTGAAACAATTATCCATGTATGTGCAATTTATAAAGTAGTAAAGCAAACCTTAACTAGGAGGCTTTAGTAAATTTGCAATCACCTAATCTTGAGTTCCCTTTCCATATAATACCATCCCCCACTATCCCTGCGTCAGGCTCATTACTTGTTGTAATTTTGTGTTTTCCAGGAACGACTGGAGAGAAGACGTCAAATGCCCTACCACATGCACATAAACCTGGAACTTTTGGAAGCCGTTCACCTTATATGCGCCATGCTCCTCGAGGTCCCTAACATGGCTGCCAATGTCCACGATGCCAGACGCAAGGTCATCAGCAAGAACTTCCGCAGGCTGATCGATACAAGCGAGTGCCAGACCTTCACAGGCCCGCCCGAGAATGTCCGAGACCACATCATGGCCGCTACCCGGGCCCTCAGGCAGGGCAATTTCGACAAGGCCTTTTTGGTCATTATGTCTCTCGATGTCTGGAGGTTGCTCAGGAATAAGGATCACGTGCTTGCCATGCTTAAGACCAAGATCAAGGAGGAGGCCCTCAGGACCTATCTCTTCACGTATTCCTCCTCGTATGACTCGATCAGCCTCGACGACCTGTCTAAGATGTTTGATCTCTCGGAGGCCCAGACGCGGAGCATAGTGAGTAAGATGATGATTAATGAGGAGCTGCATGCCAGCTGGGACCTGCCGACGGGGTGCATTGCGTTCCATGAGGTGGAGCACACCAGATTGCAGGCACTGGCTTTCCAGCTCACCGAGAAGCTCTTTCTCCTGGCCGAGACGAATGAGCGCGCCATTGAGGCCTGGATTGGGGGGGTTTCCATGGAGGGTGGCCTCCAGCTGAGGCGCAAGGATGGGCAGGATTATGCTGGGCCTGCCGCCTCAGGGGGCAGCGGCAGGTGGCCGGAGTTGTCGAGCAGTGGCGGGAGGCAGGGGTATAGTGCTGGTGGCAGTCGGGGAGTGGGCTCGGGTTATAATAGGGATGGACAGGGAAGGTCCGGTCGTTATCAGGGCTCAAGGAATCAGGATGGGGCAGGCCGGGCTTACCAAACGGGCTTGGGGGCTAGGGGTGGCAACGTAGATGGGTATACCCGGATGGTTAACCTGAACACGGGGGTGCGCACGTGAGGAGAAGAGGATTTGTATTTATTTATTTATTTTTTTTCCCCGAGAGTTGTTTCTGTTTCATTGTTATTATTACGGGACTTGTGTGTATTCGAGTTGCTGTTAGTTTGTGCTATAATTTATAAAAATTTTGATTGAAGCGCCAAATATGTGTACTTGTTGTTGTATTTATGAAGAATTTGAGATTAGGCTTTGCTCGCTGAATTTGAAAAAGGTAGTGAGACTTTTAATGTTGATGTGTAATGTAGCAGTAGGAGTATACGTACTGCTACTCTATAGCACAACACAAGATTTGAAAAACGCCATACGTACATACATACAATCATACATACATACATACGAGTTTGCTGGTGTTTGAAAGAAAAACATCTTATCTTAAAATAATTTAATAATTAAGATTGACAGAATCTATTTGTTTGGTACAAAGCGCGATGAAGGAGAAATATAAACAAAGCTAAATCCACAAATTTGCTGAACACAATCGCTAATATATATATATATATCCTTCTTCCATCTCTTACTCCTACTGCTAAAATCTCTTATTAAATACTTGAGTTGCATAAATACTCAAAACTTGTAAGTCCCAAAGCTGGTAGAATCTCTTTCAAAATTTCCCTGTGTTGACATGAATAAACTATTTTCCATTTTTTTTTTTTTTTTTACTACAAAACTATGGCAAAGAAGTAGTACTAGTTAGTATAAAGAAATGGAGTAAATGTTAGGTAAATGGCCAGCTGTGTTTGATGCCTTAAAATAATGCATGTTGGGCATGTTGGACATTTATTTATGAATGAATGCGCTTCACCCCAACCGTTGACCATCTGCATTCATCTAAACATATTCTACACTTGACATAATCAATCATAACATTTTCTCTCCTCTCATTTGTCAGAAAACACACAGGAACAAAAAAGAGAGAGAAATGGCTTGTTATGCTGCTTTGGTTTCTCTGATTCGGACAGTTGAGAATCTCTTGCAGTCTCCCCAAACATCCGTAGGCCCGGAAACCTTCAAATCCGCGCTGGACGAGGCCCGGCTCCTGAAAGAATCGATCCAGTTGATGGACAGAATCGGGTGCTACAGCAGCGCCGACTTGCTCGATGGATTCAGTAGCGGCTACGCCACGACTTTCCATTTGAAAACGCAAACCTCGTCTTTGAAACCTCTTCACACGTTCGAATCCCACCTATTGGCTCGCCTCCCTTCCGAGTACAAACTCGTGTTGTTTTCGAGAGAGCTAGTCAGCATCGTGAAAATGGAGGAGTACCCCATTGATGGGCAGACGATCCGGGAACTGGGCAGCGTGCTAGAGTCATTACTCTCGGGTTTGCGGAAAGAACCCCTCGGAGTGGACTTGGCCGATGCTAAGCAACGCATCGAGTTGTTAATGCAGACTATGCGGGAGGAGGAGGAGGAGGAAGAGGAGGAAGAGGTAGAGGAGGAGGAGGAAGAAGAGGTAGAGGAGGAGGAGGAAGAAGAGGTAGAGGAGGAGGAAGAAGAAGAGGTAGAGGAGGAGAAGGAGGAAGAGGTAGAGGAGGAGGAGGAGGAAGAGGTAGAGGAGGAGAAGGAAGAAGAAGAGGTAGAGGAGGAGGAGGAAGAAGAAGAGGAGGTGGAATTTCTCAAAACTCGTGGTCTGGTTTCAGGTTGGTAAAAGAAACATGGAATCCATTACATGAATGTCATGGTCTATACTTTCAAATATTTTTTGTTCAATTTTTCTTCTCAAACATTTGATTTAATTGTCATCACCTCCTGTGGCCAGATATATCCAGATTTGCAAACCAAGCCATGATGAAATTGGAAGCATTTATGAAAAGATTGGATAGGAATAGGAGCAGTAGCAGCTGCCAAAGACTTAATGCTTTGGAAGGACAGATAAGAGAAGCAGCCTGTAAATTACAAGACTCGCTCGAATCACACGTCTCGACTCAGTCCCTCGCACAATCCAAACACAGTCCATTCTCACTCCACCTTCTGGAAGTCGACCAAGATATCAAGGCATTTATCCGATCCGCGAACGGATTGAGAGAAGAGTACATTAGTGAGTTACGCAACACATCACCCGACGAAGAAGAAGAAGAAGAAGAAGAAGAAGAAGAAGAAGAAACTGATTGTTTTTATGTGAAAAGTAAAACTAAGTCGAAGATGATCGGATTACGTGAAGAAGCTGGCAAACTCAAAAAGTTGCTTACCTCTTTGCCACCCGAATACGATGGGATTTACACAATAGTCGGGATGGCCGGCATTGGTAAGACAGCCTTAGCAAAGGTTGTTTTTGAAGACCCGTCGATTAGAAATCACTTCGATTGTTGCGCGTGGGTCACCGTGGGCCCCAAACGTCAGCTAAACGACATCCTGAGAAGCATTTTAGCTCAGGTGGGCTCCGACACAAACGAAAAACTCGACGAGAAGAAAATGGTGCAACAGAGTTTAAACGACAGGGCCCATCTCGTCGTATTCGACGATGTGTGGGACTCGGCAACCCTTGACGACTTGATAGAAATCCTCCCGAATAATAACGATAGGAGTCGGGTCCTGGTGACGACTAGGCTACGAGGAGTCTCCATCAACGACTGGTGCCGAAAATACTCCCACGGAAAAAGTTTCATGAGCAAAAAAGAGAGTTGGGAACTTCTTCGTGTCGAGGTATTTGGAGACCAACCTTGCCCTCTCCAACTCGAGAAATACGGTCAAAGGATTGCCGAGAATTGTGATGGCCTTCCTCTCACGGTCGTCACAGTTGCTCGACTCCTATCCGAATCCGAGCAAACGACTACAGAAGAGTATTGGAAGCGTGTTGCGATGGGAGAGAGCTCAGTTTTCTCCGACGCGTACAATCAAATGTCAGAGTCGCTGTTTCAGAGCTACCGTTACTTGCCTCAGCATCTAAAAGCGTGTTTTCTCTACATGGGAGCTTTCCCACAAAAATACGAAATATCATGCACGATGCTCGTCGAGCTGTTAAGCTGCGAGGAGCTTTTCGAGCCCATTCCATCTGTGAATTTCGAAAACTTTGTCGAAGATTGTCTGCACGAGCTGTTCACCTCAAATGTAATCATTGTCTGCGACAAAAACTTCCTCAACAAAATAAAGACTTGGAGACTCCACTCCGCCTTCTGGCACATGTGCACCAAAGAAGCCCGAAACACCAAGTTCTCCCATGTTATAAACAGCTATGCCGATGGCCTTGCACGAGGTATCGAGAGCCAGCACCGGTTGTGCATTCACAACAACATTTTACTCGGAATTAAAGACGTGTACCGATCGATATCGGCAAATTCAAACGCTCGTTCTTTCCTGTGCACCGGCCCGTACCATCGGTATCCCGTGCCGATATGTTCCGGTTCGCGATTGCTAAGAGTGCTCGATGCCCACACGATCCGCCTTTATGAGTTCCCCTCACAAATACTCGAACTCATCTACCTGAGGTACCTCGCCATCACGTTCGACGGGAACCTCCCACACTCCATCTCCAAACTCACGAACCTTCGTTGTCTTATCGTGCAACGGCATGCTAGCATCAAACCCTCGGGATCTGGGCCGTATGTGCCAGTTGAGATATGGGACATGAAGGAACTAAAGCATCTTCAGATTGTGGGAGATCGATTGTCGAATCCTCTGGCCAACGACTCGGTTCTACCGCTCCTCACGACACTCTTGGACGTGAGCGCCGACGCATGGACCAGGGGCATTTTGGGAAGAATGCCGAACTTAACCAAATTAGGGTTCCGAATCGAACTAGGGCTCGAAACAACCGACGGCCCACCAAGCTTCTTCGAGGGCATCTCTCAACTCAGCAATCTGAAATCACTGAAATGCGTCGTCGTGAATCCGAGGCTTGATTTCACCACACAGCCTCGGGTTCCACGTGACTTCTCGTCGGGTCTTAAGAGGTTGAGCCTGAGCGGGTTCGGGTACCCGTGGAAGGACATGTGCGTGATTGAGAAGCTGCCGAATCTCCAAGTGCTCAAACTGCGGTGCTATGCTTTTCGAGGCCCGAAATGGGAAACGGGCAATGGGGGCTTCAGGCGACTTGATTCGCTCATGATTGAGGACACGGATATGGTGCATTGGACGGTCGGGGACCGAAGCTTCAACCAGCTCAGGCAGCTAACGGTAAAACACTGCTACAAATTAGAGGTGATACCGGAGGAACTTAGTCGGTCGCTCTTTGAGATTGAAGTAGTTGACTGCAGCCCCTTAGCCAAGAGCTGTGCAAAGAGAATAAATAGCAAGATGTGAAAAAAAAATAATAATAATAATAATATCAGAGGCTTCATCTTAATAATGTTCCTGGTTTTTTACAGACTCAGCTCTATTTCACACTCTGTATGCACAAATTTTCAAATAAAACAAATTCAGCAAGTTCCCATGAAATCTTATTAGCTATAGTTAACGTGCGTAACATCAAGCTGTTCTTCTGTATTGGGTGCAGCCAAAATGGCATCCAACCCAGTAACTTCTTCTTTCATCACGTCTATAATGTTAGTGTTATGAATCGGGCCAAGTTCTAAAGCCAAATGCAAGAACCCCAAAGAACGTTCATCACTCAAGCCAGATGAATATCACAACTCACAAGTAGCAGCAAGAATATTCACAAATTTGGCAGTGTATCAGCAGCCAGACCAACCTAATAATAGAGGAATAGAAGGGACTCGAGAATGCATTGTTTTGTATTTATGAAATTTCACTCACTCAAACACAACCTGAAATATCTTTCCTATCACAGGTGCATCATTCCTCCAGGAGCAGCAACTACAACAGTACAACACAAGTTGGTAATAATCAATACACAAAGTGGGTTGAACTATATATTCTCTGGTTTTGCACATTCCATTACATCTATCAAGTCTACCGTTTCCGATCAGGAAAAATTCTAGTTTCGCATGTACTCATACAATCCTTCAGCAACATTTCCCGCCTTTAGTGAAAAAAATTTATTACTATGGGGATTTCATCATATACAAGGCCTTCAAAGCTAAGTTACTGAAATGCTGCACACAATGCTGATTCATAATCATCTCATGACACGTGTCAAACAGTATCAGTGCCATCTCCGAATATGGACAGAGAAAATGGGTCAATAGCCACGTTGAATGTCTGATTACATATTTCATCGACATACTTCATCTCAAATTCACCTTCCTGCAGTCAATTCAAGCAGGGAAAGATTTTTTATTTTTTTCCTTCTTTCAGTAAAGTAATAGAGCAGCAAGATATAAGATACTAAATGTTAAGGGACCTCGCTAATTTTTTTTGTCAGACCAAACCACAAAGTGCCAGTAGAAATTATAAGTACACACTTACAGAAACTACCCTTGAGTTTTGGCCCAATTACCTAAAATTAAACAAATAAAAAGAAAATGATACAACAATTATCTTTCAGTTTTGGTACAATAATTTGTAAATCTGAAATATAGCACCCTTGGCCATTAGAATAACCTGCAAGAAGTTTTTTTGCAGCTAACCTTTAACCAAAATTTATCTGAATTAAGAACTTATTTAAATGATAAGGTTGCAGGTATTAGTAAGGAATGTGGATCACTGACCAGCATTTGTTGCCTCTTAGACAAACTTTTATATGCTAACTAAGCAACCAAAACTAGAAAGAGTACAACCCTCTTGGTAACTACCAGAACTACTAGTAAATACGATATGACAACTGTATGTTTAGACAAAGCTTTCACAAATGATGGGTACTTAATTTACATTTTTTCTTAAAGATTTCCGATAATCGATTAATGACACTTACTTGAGGGAGGAGAGAGCTTAGATGTGTTCAACAAACTTATGATATTTAGCGAGCTTCTATGATGACCGACATTTATATCTAAAAAGAAAAGGTAAATGCAAACAAAATTTGTGGGATAATGTGGTATCGTACCATTCTTCCACTAGGTGTGCTCAATGGACACGCAGATGAATACTCAAAGCTAGTGTTGGGAAGCAAAACCGGTTGTTCGCCTATAACTCCAATACCACTGGTGAAAAAGGAGGGAGATGCATATTAATAGAAGAAGAATAATATATATATGTTTGTGCACGTGTCTGTGGAGAAGGGTAACAATCCGAAATTCAAAAGGTCATCAAATTACTGATGGTGATTGAATATATGTGGAGAATTTTGCACCCGTTCACAACATAATAAAGTTCAAAATTGGAAACTTACCGGACATTTTCAGTTTTCCCATTGGCATCAGTGATAATCCAATGTCTTCTAAGAAGTTGCACGGGGCGGTCTGAGTTGTTGGTGATTCTAATTCTGTATGCGAAAAAATAAAGACTCTTTGAAGGCTGACTTCGACCTTCAACATAAACACTCCTGACTTGGACCCTAATGTCCTGGAAAGAATATTTTCAGTAGTGCAAACATTGAGTTAAAGTTTCTTAATCCAGTATAAGCTGAGTAATTTTCAGGAGCAGAGCATACAACATGCAACAAGGAAAGAAAAATAAATCTAGCAATGTCTACGCCCTGTTTGTTATGTTTCATAATTTTTGAAAAATCAAATGTTCACGCGAAAAGGTTGAGATAATGTTCAGATGAGAAGTTTTGAAACAGTAATTGTGATATAGTAACTTCCCACTTTCAACATTTTAATTTGAATATGTAATGTAGAAAACATAAGATTGCAGGTGTAGGCATATTAAGATTCAAGTAAAATATAGTAATGTTTTAAGTAGATAGTGAGTAGGGCGAGGGCCACATCTCAGAAGATGAGATATGGTTGATGGGTATGAGAAGCTCTGATTTGAAAAATGAAAATTCAAAGTAATGATTCCATTATATATAAATAAAAAAAAAATGATTTAATTCAAAAATGAATAATTTGAAAATGGAAATAAGCATTTGGAGAAGAAAACAAACAACGCCTTACCTCCTACGCATCTCAACTACTTCAGCTAACTAAAGGCAGTTCACAAAAACTACAAGCAAATGGTCACAAATCATAATGACTTACATCAGTTAATCTACATGGAAACAAAAATATAGCGGAAACAAAGCCTGGAAGATTTACGTGATGCAAACAAAAAGATACACGTGGTGCCATCATGAGAGTTTTAATGAACAACCCATTGTGTACTGCTAAATTAAACCTGTTAACAAACAAAATCAACTACACCGTCTACTGGATTTACATGCGACACTAGACTTAGACCTGAAAAATTCTAACAGAGCCAACTAAATCACTACACTTATACTTGAAAATAAGTAAATCTGTAGGATTTAGAAATTTTATCCAGCACGTCCACCCACAAAACATGTGATAAATAATGTATCTTTTGTCTTTCTTACCGGCTAATGAAAATTTTACTAAAGAAGAAGAACAAATTTAAAAAGTAGCCACTTGTGATAGAAACACACAATGACACCAAGCCAAGAGGCTTTGTAAGGACCAGTGACAAAATAAGTGACCAAGTAAATAAATGGTGTTTTACTATACCAAGCTCGTTGCATCACTTGAGCACTTTAACAGGCAATGAGGATCAATTTCCTTCAGCTCATCACGGTACTTAGCTGCATCCTGGAAATAAATACAAGAGCCTGTAAATATGGGTACCAACAAAAAGTTTGCCAAAAAAAAATGGGAGAAAGCGTAAAACAAATTGCTCAATAAGGATAGCATGTGTAGCTACTGACAATTAACTAGTTTTCAAGATTAACCTACTCCTGGTCAACCAACAGCCAAGCAAAACAAGTATGAAACCCATGTTCTTCAGATGCATCACTCAAGTACTATTCCTGGAAGCTAATAAACATGAGGAGAAATATTCTTTATGCCTAGTACTTCAAAAGCTAACAGATGCCTGATGAGAGGCATTTGATCATGGTCATAAACAGTTTACCCCTAAACCTAAAAATTAGGTAATGTGTGTGTTTGTAAATTTATCACTTTATTTCCTAGTACATATTTTTTCTTCTATCTCTTGACACACACATGTTTATCATCAGCACAATGGCAGCACCAACACATAGCAAGTCTAAGATCATCGTAACTTACTCATTTTCCTAGTTCTGATTCTATTTCATCCATTTCCATACCTCAAATCTTTCCTCTACAATGGCCTCTCTTAATAATCTCTGAAGTCGAAGAACTGGCTCCTTTTCTTCAAATAACTTCAAGTAATCACGAAGTCTCGCAGCTTCTTTGTAATCCTATGCAGTTAATAAGAGAAACACTTGAAATAAAATAAGATACTAAAATTTCAACTCCAATCTCTACCTCAAATTCACAAAAATTGCAAAATAAGTGTGAAATTTATTTAGTCACTATGCTGAGAGCTGAATAGTTGATTTATACACAAGAACACAAAGATTGGCTGATACTCTTCAGTCAATCAGATAAGCCAACACCAAAATTGCATCAATTTGTCTCACTTGTGAAAAATTAAACCTTTGCCTCTTTCATTCTCTGACACAACGAGCTTTATTAAATGAATAATACCTTTTAACATATATTCTTTAATTACGAAAATGTAGTAACATAAGTATACTTCATCTTCCCCAATCCTGGTAACCTTTCCTCCAATATAGGCCATGTTTATCTAGTTATCCACTGAAGAACATGTAAAACGCCATAACATAGCTAAAGTTACGTCCTTTTATGTTCTTTTCTCGGAAAAAAGCTATTATTAATCAACACATCGTAGTCACATTTCAGAGGACCAATTCGCCCAAAATCAGATATAAGCATCCGCCTAGAACTAACAGAGCTTCAGAACCCATGAGCGCACGAAAAAAAAAAAAACAAAACAAACAGATTATTGCTCCAATTAACAAGGCCGATGAGTATGACCGAATCTAACAGAAGTTACAGCTTAAAAGCTAAGATTTTATCTTATTTCAATGTGTGAAGAATGAAACTTTTTCCCCAAATCAAGCCTAGAGGAAAACTAACAGAGCTTAAAATTATAGCATACAATATCCATCGTCTCAGTTTCAATCAAACAAAGTACGAGGTAAGCAAACAAGCATGCCTGGGATTTCGCAGCTACTTCCAATTTCTGCTTCAGTAGCGCATATGTTCCGGTTCGAGAGAGAAACGATGTTCGACGGGTTTCCTCAATCGGGCCCGGCCCTTGACTCTGTGTGCCACAAGCAACGATCCGGTTTGGGCGCTGACCATAATCCTTAGCTATGCTGTAGCTGAGTCGATTCGGCAACGACAGCGAGTGAAAATTCATGATGCCCTTCAAATTCAAACTGTGCATCTTTTGTGGGCAGTCCCTTTCTCTGATGCGCAATAATTTGATCGGAAAACAAGAACAAAAGGGAAAAAGATTCAAACTTTATCAAAGTTTTTGTCTGGTTATTTCATGCAACCAGTGCTTGAAGACTTCAAGTGTCGCCTACGGCTGCACAATTGGTCAAAACTGAATCGAACTGGACCGAGCATCGAACTGAAAACTACGGCACAGTTCAGTTCGGTTTTAAACAAAAAATTTATCGATTTTTTTGATTCGGTTATCGGTTATCCGATAATAAGAAGAAATGACAAAAAAAAAAAA